TCTGTTGGTTCGTATCAAAGGGGACAGCATTCGTTCACATCTCGCATCGACAAGTCCTGGTCGCCCAGCACCCTCTCGGCGGTTCCCGATTGCTTCCTTCTCGTATAACTTCACAGCTTCCAGCAGCTACTCGCCACAGCTCACCGTAATCACCCCACAAGCCTTGTCATTTTAGAGATGCTCAGTCCAAGTCATTTGGTCCTTGTCAGATTCACTCAGGTCTTTACTCTGGATTTGTTTTGCATGCAAAACGTAAACTATGAGTAGCGAACGTTTGCTTACTGTCCAATATGTCCCAGACCTTGACATCTTCTGTTTTTAACAAGACATTCATGTCATTTGGGGGTGGTCATAATGTTTGGGTCATCGATGTGTATATGCACATATGCATACACACACACACTATATATATATATACGCGGAGTATGGCTCAGTGAGTTATGCCTCTGTGCCTCTGATCATAAGGACCCTCAACCAGATAAATGGCCTGATCCTGCGCTCAGACCCCAAGCGTCACCCTCAACTGTGTATGTATGTGTGTCTAACTGTAAACTGAGAGCAGAAATGGGATATGTACGTGTGCGAATGGCACATAAAGGTGCTTCATTGTTCTCTCCACTTTCGCTGAGCCTTGTGAGAGAAATGAGTGGTGAAAACACAGCGTTTCAAACCTACTGACTATAAACACATTGAACGCGGAAAGGTGTTTCGGCAGGTAATTCCCAGCAGATGCCTGCAGCATTAAATTATTGTACACTGACATCTGGTGGTCATTTAGAAGAATGACACAAAATCGCTGCAGCTGCCTGAAATATACAACACCCAGAGAGGGTTTCGTTAACGTATTAAATCGATATTTTACTCTAACTACACCATTCGTATTTCGCGCTGTTGCATTTACTTACCTTTGGCACACCCTGGTGTATATGTGTTAGAACTGCAACATCACCTTACGTCAGGGGTACCTAATTTTATTCGCAAAAGGCCGGTGTGTATGCATGTTTTTGGGATAACCTGTAGGTCAGCTGTTCAAACCCAGGTGCGAGGACTCTTTCAGCCAATCAGTCCTCTAATTAGTAATCTAATTAGGGAGTTGCAGCAAAAACCCGCATACACACCGGCCCTTTGCGGATACGATTAGGTACCCCTGACGTAAGGTGATGTTGCAGTTCTAACACATATACACCAGGGTGTGCCAAAGGTAAGTAAATGCAACAGCGCGAAATACGAATGGTGTAGTTAGAGTAAAATATCGATGGTGTACTGAGCTTAGGTCCAAACTGTCCTTAAGAATAATATCTACAGTGTAGAGATGTTATTCTTTATTGATAAGCACAGCAATTTTATCCACCCATTTTAGAATGGTGATGCTTTATTAATCCCCACTTTCTTAATTCTTTTTTTGCCTAACCCATCTTGCTCTCCATGAGACACACAGGTGAGAACAAGTTTGGGGGTCACAACACAGGGTCAGCCAGCATGCAGTGTCTCTGCAGCTGGGGGTAAAGGGTTTTACTCAAAGGACTACAGACATGTGACTGTTCTGCTGAGGTCATGGCTCAAGGTAATCCCGATACATTTAGCTATCCATAGAACAAGGGGGTTCTGCTAAGTGAGGAAAAACAGACATATAAGTATGAAAACAGGTACTTTGGACCTCATCATGAGTGACACAGGCAGGTGAGAGGGTGGGTGACCACAGGGTCAGCCAACATGCAGCGACCCTGGGGCTGGGGGTTAAGGACCTTGCTCAGGGGCCCAACAGACAGAGCTATTGTACCAAGGTTGGGGCTCGAAATGGCAACCTTCTGATCACAGGCATAGAGGCTTAGCTCACTGAGCCACAAACCTCCTCCATACCTGTTTATTTTATGGAGGGTCATAGGCACAAGACAGAGAAAAAACCCAGGATAGGGGCACCAACCCATGGCAGACACATCAATGGTTTGACCGATCTTGGATGGAGGGGCAGCAAGGAATGTTGGACACCCCAAATTATCTGGGTGCGTGACAATAAGTAGCGGGGGGGCAGAGGAGGAAACATTGTAAAGGCTGTCAAGCCTATATGTATGTCTACTAAGATTTGGTACAGCAGTGATGGCAAGAACTGACTACATACATGCCTTGGGTTGAATTTTAGTGAAACCTCACTTAACATGAAACGCTTCAGAAAATATTGAATCCAAGTAGACAACAAATACGCATTTTTTCAAGCTAAGCTGATGCAGGCAATGGGATGTGTTTTTTCTGGAAATCCACAGTAAGTGAGCATACTCTAATGAGCCAAGCTGCCATTAGACACCAAACTTAGCCAGATAGTTACCCCAGAAACGTAACGAACATGCCTACCTTCTGTGTGGTTGTGGCACACAGCATACTTACATACTGGATCACTGGCTTTGCCAGTTCCCTGTCTGTTCTCCTCCTCCTGCTCACTCTCCTCTTGGCCCTGTATTTCCCCTTTTGTTCCATCACCCTCAGACAGCCTCTGCCGCCTCTCCCACCCACGTGCTGCCTGTACACCCCCACATTTCCTGTCTGCTTGCTGATACAATTACTGCCTGCTACATTACACAACTTAAAGCTCATATCTGTAAAACTATCTGGAAAATATCACCCATGCAGAACGACAACCTCAGACACAATGTTTCTTACAGAACCAGCAGTGTACAATCATTGCAGTTCAAGTAGTATTATCTTAGAATAAAGGCTAAGTTGTGGAGTTTGCTGGCTGAAATGGTTTGGCACTGGAAAAGCAACCCCCTCCCAGTAATGCCGAGGGCTATCTTTGGCAAGCTGTCGGCAGGCTTGATGAGAGGTCCTGAATGCTCCATTGGAGGAAAGAGGAGGCAGCTCACTGCGGCAGGAGTATCCTTTAGAGAAGCTCCTGAACAGGCTCCCGGGGCTGCGGCAGGAGTATCCTTTAGAGAAGCTCCTGAACAGGCTCCCGGGGCTGCGGCAGTGTCTCTCAGGCACTCGCACGGCCACCCCAGGCCTCAGATTTCTTACCAGCAAACCAATTTCCTTTTCATCTTCTTTGACTTCTTCCTAGAGCTTTCTGTAGATTATGGTAGCCTCATAATGTCCCTTCAACCTCATACGTGACTAAACTCGACTCCTAAACAGAGAATTTAGGTGATGGATCCCTTGGTTTATTAACATTATTTGTTTAACTTCAGTAGAATAGTGGTAATGAATTTGGTCAAATGATGTAATCCCTGACACTTGAGCTGCTGGTAGCATAATTTCGATTGCTTATTTGTAATCAGCATCAGTCATTCGGAAAAGTATGGCTGGAATCTACTGTCTAGGGCTTGTCACATTATGTCAATTAAGCAAAATAGTTAATTAGAGGCCACTTTTGAATCTAGGGAAATTCCACCTGTATTCACCATCCACTGTTTTTCCAAACCAGTCGCCAAACGGGGGGCTTGTGGCTGTACTTACCCACACAGCTGGGTGTTATCTAGATAACAAGGCCCTGGGACCCAAAGTAGCTGTTTTTCTTACATTGCTGCCATGTTGTACCTGCTCCCGCTATTGAAAGTAGGCACTTATTCTCACGAGTCATTTTTTTCAGAGTTCTGCTCCCTTTTGGGTGTTCATTGAGAGTTTTTTTTTTAAAAAGCAACCGGCCAGCATTATGTTTGGTATCCTAGCAACTTGCCTTCAGATTCAGAGATGCTTCATATTTTCAGCGGCCTTGCAAAAATTATCCAGGACAACAGGAAATCGACCTATTGTAAAGCATCCTGTTTATTCGCAGGAGGAAAGCGCTCGTTCTGTGATGCTTCCCACCCAGTATTTTGAGGATGTGACCAACAAGCACCTTTCGCCATCCTGACTAGGTTCGCAAAAACCAAAAGCAAGGAAAGTTCCGCAGTGTTGCAATTGCAAAGAGACTTACATGGTTCCACCATGAAATGAAGAAAAAAAAGATAATTTAAGGTTCCTGAAATAGCAAAGTATTTCACAATATGGATCCCACCTTTCTAGGAATTTTGAATCACATAGAAGAGACTTTGATTTCTGGTCTCAATTTAAAAGGTTTCCCAAAGATATTTATTCAAAGCGACTTAAAGGAGCTGCCAGTTTCTGCATGTCCCAAACCTTTCCCAACCCGGTCCTCAGGGACCCCAGACAGTCCATGTTTTTGCTCCCTACCAGTTCACAATGTTGGGAAATACTGGCTTATGGACCCAACAACAAACAGAAAACTTGTACCAGTACTGTGGTTTTGTTTGGACTGTACTGTACCGATGGAAAGGTCCACTGAAGTGTGTTTAGAAAAGGAACAGCATAGAAGGAAGTGAAGGCATTTGTTACAAAGCAGAAGACAAACACAAGATCCCAGGAAAGTCTGGTGCAGTTTGTTTTTTAATTGGTTTAGAAACTAGAAACCTGCCCTGGCTGAAATCCATAGGGCAACTGCATGTTTGGCCAAGCACCAACCCCCCCCCTCCCCCACCCAGCCAGCATCCACCTGGCCTAGTACCTCAATTTCAAGTCATAAGAACTTTATCAAAAAGAGGACACACAGGGATGTGACATCAGTAACTGCATGTTTTAGAAAAAAAAATCATAAAAAACGGAGAAGCATTTTTACGTCTTTAAGCTGCAATAAATACTGACCATAGACTTCTTTCCTGTACATGAACATAAGATTTTAGTCTTTAGTGATATAAAAAATATGACTTCAGTGCATTTTCTTTGCAAATCTTCTCTTCCGATCCGCTTCCATGGCTCCTTCGCTCTTTAACATTTTAATTTTTGCCCTTTACCCTGACTTTAGAAATGGCCAAGAAGGAAAACAAAATATATAGATATATATATATATGCTCTACCTCTTCCCCAAACACTCGCCCATCAAAACACAAAAATATATGAAAAAAAATTCACAGCCTTTTAAACTTTTTGTCTACATTTCAAGCAACAAACCATGACATGAAAGGCACAATAAACTACGTTTTTAGTAATACTGAACAAGAGACGAACGAAACTGGAATTATTGTCATGTTCTGTATTGGTTTTGGTCATTTACAAATATATGTATATTCATCATATAGATCATATATATCGTAACAGATATTAAGATAGGAAGATAAATAAAGAAACAGAGATAGATAGAAATTGTATTGGCAATAAAGGTGCATCTTATTACAATCCTAAATATTGCAGAAGGACAAAAACAAAGTAGGTAAACAACAGTGTCATAAATTGTATAAAAATGAAACCATAAAAAACAACAACAACAAAAAATATTAACAACGAATATCTGCAATGATCCTGTACACAGAATCAGGGCGGAGTTTTAAGTGCTTCCTGTTGTGTTGTTTTTGCTCTGGCACACCCTGGCCTCGACTCCTGATCCGCCGGCCCCTCCCCGGGCTGGCTCTGGGACACGCCCCCCATGCAGCACCTCAGTTGGGCAATTGCTCTCAGGGGGCGGGCTAGTCCTATGAGTGGGAGGAGCCTGCAGGCTAGGAGAGGGATGCGAGGGCCGTCCTGGCTCAGAGCCGCTTTCCTCAGTCTGTGCGTCTGCTGCCTCAGTGGCCAAAGTGCTAGTCTGCGACTGAGTGCATAAGCTGCCATATTGCTTCGTGCCCGTGTCTTTGGGCTCCTCCCCGCCCGTCTCAGGAACGTGTTCTTTTGGGGGGGCGTGGCCTTTGCTTGTGCAAAACCCTGATTGGCTAGTTCCAGCTTCCTTGCTTTGCGCCCCACGGTCCCCCAGAATCCCAGCCCGCGCCCCCTCGGCCTCGCCAGGGGACTGGCTCGGGCCCCTCTTCCAGGGTGAAGGGGGCGAGGCACCACTGGGGCACCGGAGCAGTCTGGGGTGGGCACTGGGCCGGGGCTGCACCATCTGAATGCCCCCGATGGGGATCATGAGGCAGGGCATCCGCGTCAGCTGCTGCGAGTGCAGCGGCAGGTGGCTGAAGGTGCGGTCTACAGTCCGGGGCGGCGTGTGGCCCAGGAACTCACCCGGCATGAGCCGCAGAGCGGGGGAAGGTGGGCTGGCATCCGTAGGGATCAGCCTTTCACGAGGGTAGCTAATCTGCTCCTTAAAGAAAATGGTAGGGGAGGGAGGGGTGTCAATGTCACACAACATAGCACAGGCTACAGTCACTGTGCCACCAGTTACAAACACATTCACTGCTGGCCTGTATGGGGCTGGGCTACTGTCTAGAGAGAAAACATGTATGTAATTATTCAGGTGTGAGCATGGTTCGGCGGGGTTTAGGACCCTGAGGAGTGCTGTGGGGAGGCCGCCTTTTTTAGATTTTTATTTTTGATATCTGCTGCTCTTTGAGCTGAAAACTACCACCTACCACATATTTATATGTATATGTTTGCAATCTGTACAGAAATAAATGTCAGGGTTTATATAAAGGATTTAAATGAAGTATACAGAAGAATTTCCACCAAGTCTTCCAATTGCACGGAATAATAGATTATTCCACATATGTCTCATTCATCTACATGCACTGATTACATTAAATGTGCAGCACGCTGTATGTATGTGTAAAGTTTGCTGTGAATGGCAGTGCTCCTTTTGCCTTCTGATAGTCGTGCTAAATGCATTAAGTGTGAATGTAAAGCATCAGCACAGACTCACCTGCCAGCCCTCGCTGGCTTCTGTGCTGCCCTCCGCGTCCCTGGCATACCGGCCAGTGGAGCTCTGGGCTCTGTGGCAGGCCGCAGTGGGAGCGGGTGAGGCCAGGCCCCGTGGCCCCACGTAGCGGCCCGGGGACAGCGAGCCAAGGGGCGACAGTGGCCGAATCGGGGACAGTCCCCGCTCAGGGGATGGGGACAGGTGGCGGCCAGGGGAGGACAGGTCCAGCCTGGGGGAGAGGCACCGTAGGGGGGACGACTCCCGGGGCCCCGGTGACAGGCGGCAGAGGGGGGAGCCCTCACCGCTAGGGGAGAAGGCCCTGGGAGAGGCTTCCCAGCGGCACCGCGAGAACAGCGCCCTCTTGCTGCCAGGGGAGGCAGCCCTCCCACTAGGCCAGGGCCTCCTTGGTGACGGGTAGTCCTGCTGTGTCAAGCCCGCCTCCCTCTCCTCAGGGGTATCCCTCTGGGGCGGCTGCCCACTGTCTGAGCGACCGCTGCTGGAAAGCCGTGTGTCTGGAGAGCAGGATGAAGGAGGCTCATCATGTGAAGAGGACTCTTCTTCCTCCTCCTCTTCCTCATTGTCGTCGTCATCCTCGGAGTCTTCCACATCAGAGAACTGATGCTCCTCTTGGTCCTCTGAGCCTCCAGCCTGTTCCTCGCTGCCCCCAACTGGTCGGTGTGAAAACAGTGGACATTAACGTGTGGACATTCTCAGCCCTTAACTGCATGAATCCTAATAACCCAGCTGAGACAGAGCACAGGGTTCTAATGAGGACACAAAGCTGGACAGAATAAGCCCAATGCGGCTCTAAGGAAGGTTACCCGCACCGGCAAGCAGACTTATAAATATCCAGGACAAGTGAGGGGGCTTTAATTATAACACAATCACGACTGCTCCATTCACAAGCTGTGTCTAGCGGTTGCAGAGACGAGCGGCCTTTTAATGGGCCCGACCTTGGCTCTTGCAGAGCTCTCCGCCCCCCAGCGGGGGGAGCCAGTCTGAATGAGGTGGTGGGATCGGGGGGTGCTGCTGAACTATATTTACAGCACTGAATGGAGTGCGCTGCATGGAGCAGCCGATCCCCCTTATAGCAGCCAGGCCCTCTTACATCTGCTGCGGCCTTGGGACCATTGTGTGCCAGTCAGCACTTCCCACAATGCACCGGGAGGGATGACTCAATGAAAGTTCTTGTTAAGTGCTTCATTATTCACTTATTCCTTTTTTTTTACCTTCCCTTGACAACGGGTAGTGAATAAATTACTTTCCATTATGTAATCTTTCTCAAACGGCCTGCCGAAGCCACCCGCTGTAAAAAGTTTCAGGGGGCCAAAGTGAACGATTTTCTGTGAACGTGCCTGAACCAGCTGCCTCCAAGGTTGTGGGTTCAAATTCCACCGTTTCTGTGTGCTTGTGTGTTCTCCTTGGGTTGTGTTACAGTTACTCTGCTCATAATGTGTTTGGATACATATCCCTCTGGACTGGTACCCTATGATGGACTAGCACCCCAGCCCAGGTGTGACGGGCTCCAGGCCGCCCCTACAATCCTGTACTGGATAAGCAGACTGAAAATGGATGGTGCTTATGCTACACTGCCAGGGCGAAGACGGTCAATTAAAAATGCAGGGAAATTAGCAAGATGCTAATGAGAAAATTTTTTGCAGGAGCAGTATAGCAAAGAAGTACGATGCTTCTGGCCACTGCAGGTGAAGCAGGAATGTGTGTGTGGGTTTCACTGGATATCCCCTCTGGTACTAGAGTGTACTCCAAATAAAAAGAACACAGTACTTTATACACAGCTCAGCTCACTGTCTAGTAGTGCTTTGTGACAGAGAGGAAATGAAAATAAGTGGATCTGTCAATCAATGCAATGTGAAACAGGAAGTCCCACCTCCTTCCTCGGCCTCCAGCTCGTCCAAGGAGGACCCGGAGACCCCCATCTCCTGGCACTTCTTGCCATGGGCCTTGGACTTCATGTGTTTGGTGAGGTTCCCTGTGAGGTAAGGTAAGCGGGTCTTAGCGGCGGTGACGATCCAACCATGATACCCCCCCTCCACAGTAACGCACAGCCACCGCCCACCTTTGGTCTTGAAGGCGAAGTTGCAGTGCCTACAGACATAGGGCCGCAGGTCGGTGTGCGTGCGGATGTGCTTCCTCAGCATGCTGGGCTTCTTGCAGCGAATACCGCACTCCTCACACACGTACTTGCCGCGGCCGCGCCCACGCACGTACACGTACTCCTCGTTGGACTTGTATCTGGGAGTGAGCGAGAGAGAGAGAGGGAGAGGATTAGCAGTGAGGCCGACGGCATCGGGCATGTGCGGGTGGGTGGGGGGCGCAGATGGGTGAGGGCAAGTGTGTGGGAGGACAGAAGGTGAGGGGGTGGGAGCGAAAACTGAGTGGGAGACAGAAGTGAGAAGAAGGAAGGGGGGGGCAGGGGGACAGGGTGGAAGGGGGGCAGAGGAGAGAAAAATGGAGGGGGGGTGCACACCAGGAGGGGGACCAGGGGTATGATAAGCTGGACAGAGAGGAGCGAGGGGCCAAGATGACACGGCACATGGGCAGCGAGACTCTACGAGCACAGAGGAGGCCAGGATGAGAGGCTTCCTCAGCCGGGACGGCCATCTGGCAGGAGCCCAGCTGAGGCCGCAGAACCCACTGCCACAGAACCTCGGCTAGCAGTGCTGCCTCAGAAACGCAATTCACAGGCCAGGTGGGCATGGGGTTCTGGTAGCGCAGGCTCATGCCCCCAGGGCCGCGGGTTCCGCTGGCATCCCAAGCTCCAGGCATGTTCCCCTGTGCTCAGACAATTCCCTGCTGGTATTTTGGGTTCCCCGATCACTCAATACTGTTGTACATCTAGCACCTAGCAAGGCTGTAGTCATTACGTTGACGTGTCAGATTCACATCCCGCATAACTGTGGCAGCTCGATGCGGAAGTCCGCAGGAAGCAGATGGGCCGGGCGAGAGCATGACCCGCTGGTCGGTCCGGAGATGTGCTCAATGTGAGCGCCGCAATGGGCAGGAGGCAGGCAGGACGCCCCCGAAGAGCATTCACACGTAGACTGCTGCTTGGACAGCGGCCCAGAGTCACTGACAGACCACCCCCCCTTACACCCCCATCGCTTAGTGCCAGCCCGACTCACCAGCAGGAGGCTTCACATGAGTTGCCTGGCAACCGAGAACCCAGAAGCATGCATTCATCCTCATTTATCTCGATGGTACCCAGACGCTGCTGTCAGGAACCGTAGCTTTTGCTTATGATCTGCTTACGAACTGCCATGTGCTTCCTCATCTCACTGGAGAAGCTGGGGACTGAAGGGGGCACAGGGATGGGGGTTGGGGGGGCGGCTCATCGCTGTCACTCACAGACAGACTCACAGAGACGTTCACGACCTCCCTGACACACCACAGTGTCCGTCAGAAGGAGGAAAGCACACGGATGGTGTGTGTGTGTGTGTGTGGGGGGGGGGGTCTAGGCTGCTTTCGGAACAGACGGTTAGAGATGTCAGAGATGGTGGGAGAGCCTCGTCCACGGCTCTGATTGACACCCCTGTGAGATTCCCTATTTCACTGCCTGTCACTCTCCACTATCTGAGAGTTTATCTCATGTTAAAAAAAAAAATATTTATGTATTTCATAATTTCTCTATGATCTCGCTGGCGGGGAGGGGGGGGGGTCAAAAAATAGATCTCCCAAATGTCCAGGTATCCCTGTCTTCCCAAATACCTGCCTGGTAACATTCATACACATTCGTATCTGAACCACAAGGACTGCCACTCTGGGCATCTGCCTGCGGGGTGAGATGGAACAATTTTTATCCCAGTGTAGACAGACAGAGACACAAACACACTGCTGCAGCCAGACAGAAACCACCTGACATAATCATGGCAGTTTTCAGGTCTGAGGTTGGTGGGATTCTCAAGGACGGAGCAACACCCCAGCAGCTAATGTGCTCCTTCATAAGCGTGAAACCCAGCAGGCCTGCGGACACAGAGGGCTTATTGTGGATGAGGCTGCAACGCTGCTCCAGGTAACACCCTCAAAATCTCCCTGACTTTCCTGTTACGGGTCAGGGATCTGACCCCTAACGCAATAACCGAGAGTAACTTAGAAGGGGTACCAGCAGCTGAGGTAAACAAGCAGCATAAACAGCACCTCACATTATAAGCAGACTGCATAGAGGCTAAGGAACCAGGGCTCAACACTGTCACTTCTAATCCTGCCAGAGGAATGGCTGTTGTACCCTTGAGGTAGGAGCTGAAAATGAATGGCAAGTGTGCTGTTACAGTAAAGTGGGAAATTAACAGGAAAAAAGTTAAATGAATAATGTGCAGCCAAGGGAATGTGTAATCACAGTTATATTACTAATTGCAGTGACACAAGGCCTTTAAAGCCCCTCCATTAAACACAAATAGTTAATAAGGGCAACTGAAAGATCTTAATGTCATGTTATAGATCTTAATGTCATGTTATAGATCTTAATGTCATGTTATAGATCTTAATGTCATGTTATAGATCTTAATGTCATTTTATAGCACTCGACAACTGTTTGCAGGGGCCACAGCACCAGCAGAGGGCCTCTACGGCTGGGAAGGCTGCTTCAGACAGGGAGGCCCCCAGGAGGCTCCCATTGACCGAGGGCCCACCTCTTTGGCTCACTGCGCAACCACTGTACCCTCACCCCCACCCCCACCCGCAGCCCAACCCCCAATCCTCAGCCGCCCCAGCAACCGAAAGCTCATTTTAGCTGCCGTAACATGACGGAGAGGCTGGAAAATTCTGCCCCCCCCCACCTGGCAAAGGCTGCCAGTAACAACAGCAGAAATGGGGTGGGACAGCCTCATCCACACAGTTGCCAAAAATAAACCAATAAACTGGGGGGGGGGGTACACATCACACCACACTCCAAGCAAGTCTGCTGTAGCACCCTATAAAAATCATGTTTACTCTGGCTTATTAATATTTACCAGAACATTACGCCTGTGGGAGGCTGGTGGGGCTTATTTCTGCTTCTGAGGCCCGTTCTGGAAACTGTACCAGAATGGACTGGAACCCATGTTATGGCTGTCGTCCTCAAAAATGAATCCAGAAACTTATATATCTGTACTTCCAAGTTCCAAAAAAAAAGTTCCATTTAGAAATATTCCAACAGTACATAACATACAGATATGCATGTGTATGTGTGTATGTGTGTTTGTGTGTATGGGGGGGGGTGAACCGGCACAGCATGGATCTGGAAGTGGAGAGGCTGATTATGTGTGTTTGTGTGTATGGGGGGGGGGGGTGGTTTGTATAGATCACATTTGAGGACCAAATTGTTCCCCAAGTACAGTAAAACCTGAAATTTCCCTACTTTTGGGGACATCGTTTGAGGTCCCCATTTGGATAACCTCAGGTTTATAAAAATCTGTGAATGTAATCAAAAAAGTAGAAATGCCAAAAGTCTTGTATTTCAGTTGGTTACTTATGGTTAAGGTTAGGGATGGGTAGAGGTTAAGGGTGTCGTGATTGTGATTAGGGTTTTTCCCATAGAAATGAATGGACGGTCCTCATTTATATAGGAAGACCAACTTGTGTGTGTGTGTGTGTGTGTGTGTACACTCAGTGACAAGTGACAAAATAAGTTAAACGATCAGATGTAATGGTGCAATTCAGATGTAATCTGGTACATGTGCAGACCAGCGATGGGTATATAAATGATTCAATTTGCAAGTGGCTGGCACGTCTAGTCACCAGACACAGAGGATCCCTCATAGACGCATTAGACAGCATTACCAACACTTGATGGAGTTTGATAGGGGTCACATTGTGGGTTTGCATGAGACCGGCTGGTCATATCGTACAATTGCCCGGCAAGTGGGGTATGCAAATGTCACAGTCACCCAATGTTAGAACCAATGGGCACATGAGGGCACCGACACACGTTGTTAAGGTTCCGGTTGCCCAAGACAGACCACACCAAGGGAGGATCGTTGTATTGTGCACCAGGTATTACAGAACCCCATGACATCTGCACCTGCCATCTGGACACAGATACTGGGCTCTCTATATCACCCTGTGCCATCCCGCACCGTGTCTCGACGACTGGCATTAACTGTACTAAGGGTTCACCGTCCCATGCTTAGGCTGCCGTTAACACCAGCACAGAGACGGCTGTGTTTGGACTGGTGCCGTAACCGAGAGGCCTGGACTGATGATGAGCGGCATCATACCATGTTCAGCGATGGATCTTGGTCCTGCATTACCACAGATGACCATTGTGCGCGTATGGTGGCACCAAGGGGAGAGCCCAGTGTTGTGGACAGACACATCGCCGTTCACATTCCTGGCATTCTAAGGAGTCTTTTTTTGGTTATTATAATCGAATGATCATGATTACCACCGAACCCTCATCCATGGACAGCAAGCAGACAGCAGTTTAGCGCAGCCATCTGACACCACACAAGCACGAGGCCGTGGCGCTCCATCCCCGTTCACTGGGCACAGCATCTCAAACAAACCACAGCCCCACCACTCTCTCGCCAGAGAGCTCTGAATCTCAGTCTTCTCAGGCGTGACCCGTCACACGTGCCAGGCGCTCTGACGGATGGGCCGGCTCTCGCCATGGAGAAGTGGCAGCGGCGGGGGTGCCGTGAGTCACGGTTGAGTCAGTTCCGAGGCCAAACTGTCCCTGCAGACGCTGCACGAGTTGTCCAGATGGACGGCGGCACGGGGAGGCCAGCCTGAACACTGCGACCCAGCGGAACTGCTGCTTACGCTGATAGTCTCTAAACTGACCCTTTCAGGCAAAATGAGCTCATGGGAACAGGTTGCTTACATACTCCTAGGCACAAATGCAGAACCCTTCTGGGACATGAATCAGCTGCCTTTGGGTTACAGGGCCTTGTTTGTACTATAGCACTGCCAGATCAGTCTCACCACAGGGGGCGCTGGGGAGCAGGAGACCCGAGCCCCACATGACACCCACCTCAGCAGTATCCCAAGACACCTGGAGTCTCATTTATCAAAGTTGTGTAATACACTAGTGGCCAAAAACGAGGAAACGCCTACCATGTTTGGCATTACTCTTTAAAAATTACTACGCAAATTTTGGCAGTAATATGTTTATAAACAGTCAAAGAATGTTACAGATATACACTGGACGATTAACTGAGCAATTGAAGCAACAGTTAAAGTTCTGTAATCTCTAAAAATTGGAAGTGTTTCCACAATTTTGGCCACTAGTGTACAAAAAGATGTCTGAAATGTGCATACACAATGTTTTACACGAAATCCCGGATTTATCAAACAAAACTTTGCAGGAAAAAATGTGTATTTTTACAGCAGTGTAACAATTTGGCGTATGCAACAATTTGGACAAATCTGGAAAAATGCCCCTAAGTATATTATTTTGTCGTGCCTCCACCTCACACTGATCAAAATTTCTCTTCTTGTTTATTTGTTTATAGCCGGTATCATTGGACTTGATTTGAAAGGCTTGATTTGCCTATTATATGAGCCGCAGTTTATTTGCATTGAGTATTCCTGGTCATTTGTGGGTGGCGACTGGGCAGGATGTGTGTGCGCATTTTTTTCCTTTCATGTGCATGTATTTTTTCACAATGAAATTCACGCAGTTTGATAAATGAGACCCTTGCTGTTCTGTGAGGGAGGGAGGGTGGGAGGAAGAACACCACTCAGCATACAGCCACCACATTTGCTCATATGCATTAAATGCTGCTATACTTTCAGGTTTGCTCCCGCTCTATCAGGATGAAAACATATAGTCAATAATAATAATTGGATTGCTGAGTAGGCGACTGCCCAGGGTTGGTTCCCGGCTGCGCCCATTGTTCCCGGGATAGGCTCCTGCACCCTCCGCGACCCCAGTTTGGATTAAGCAGTTTCAGAAAATGGATGGATGGATGGATTGCTGAGTATTTATAGAAATTGGGTTGTGTGAGTGTTAGAATGAGGTCATCTGCTTAAAAGCAGTGAGGTTGGTGTGTGTGCATGTGTGCGTGTGCCAGTGCGTGGATGCGCGTACATCGAGAACACTTTGCTCACTAGTCACGGAGCATGGAAAATGCTACTCTCTGACAGTGGTGCTAACCTCTCCACCCAAGGGACAAGATCTGGACCTGATGTAAGGCAAGCATTTTGTCCATGATGGGTCTTCAGGACCCAATCTAGGTCAGTCCGTCCGCTAACGCTCTATCGAGTCTATCGAGGGGTTTGAAGGCCGACGGCTCCCTTCCCTGCACCTGCTATGCTGCTGTGGGGCTGATGTGACACATGGACATCTCCTGCACGGTGAGGAACACAGATTTACACGACGACACCAGACTGGGATGTGTCACGGCGGAAAGCTGGAGCCACCGGGGCCTTCTCCTGTCCCTGCAGCTCACGAATAAACTGAGAGGGAGACCGGACATACGTAGGTGGCGAGACGAGAGGGCGGGGAGCGGTCTACCTCTGTGACGACAGCGCGTATTCCTGTGCCCAGAGTCTGGCCCGCGCTTCAGAGAGAACTGCAAAGAGAGAGAGAGCAAGGGGAGGGGGGGAGGGAGAAAGAAAGAGAGGGAGCCCAGAATAAAAACTAAGGATTGCCGAACAGAAAAATAAAGGGGGGACAGAAGGCGAGTGGGGAGAGGAAGAAACAGAGATGGAAGACAGGAGGGAGATTGGACAGGGGAGACAGGAGAGAAGTCTGAGGAGAGAGACACGGGGGAGGGAGCCTGCCCTTCGCTGCGTCGACGCTGTGCTCACCATAACCCCCCGTCCCCCCCGGACACCACACACCTCCCGCCGCTGTGCTCCCCTGTCCCTCTTTGCCCTGGCCCTTCTCCTGTCACACCTCCATGTACAAAATAACTCCCTCGCTCTGAAGTCGGTTTCATTTCAGGAAATGCAGAGGACAAGAAATAAATTTAATAATAAAGGCAACCGTCCCATTTGGGGGAAAACTACATGGACAGAGACTTTCCTTGTGCCGGACCTGGCTGGAAACGAATTTTCTCAAAAAGTACCTTCAAAGTGCTCCAGCATTCCCCCTTGCAAAGTCGGAGGATTTGAATTTTCTGTGTAAACAGAGTCCAGCTGCACGTTACGTAAAGGGAGTCAACGTGGGGCTGAGGCCGTCGACAGACCCAGCTCTGTTGGCCCGGCAGTACGCTCCAGCACCTGCCACAGGCATGCACATGCAGTCACGTTCCTCCTGTGACACCAGCAGTGCTACCCAAAGCTACACTACTGCTGTGGCTGAGCTCAGTCACAGGAACACCCAGGCATAAGTACCCTAAAAACAGCTCAAACAGCACCAGCATTATCCCATTCAAAGCCTTCCTTGGCAGGGTCTTTCCAGCATAAATTGACCTTTCCCAGCTTTGATTTTCCAAGCTGTTCCCCTGATTACTTCTCTGAACGTTAAGGCCCCCGAACTCACTTGCACGAACATCACACAGTCAGAATGTGTGCACCACGCCTCCATAGACAGAAACATCTTCACCACACCTCCAACACTGAGAGCAACATCGACAGCGGGTGACATTCAACGGGACATGTGACTTCCAGCCAATGAGAAGAGGTGCTGTCGTTCGGTGGGACACCTTCGCGTGAAAAGGAGATTCAGCAGCTCAGCAGTGATTTTGAGATGGGATGTACGTGGGGAGCGACATGTTTCTTTTTACATTATTCCCCCCAAAATCAGATTTATAATTCTGGCCTTTTCAGGAGAAGATAAAATTAACCTGAGGCTCAACTTAAATTTATGTGATAGTTTCGATGCTATTTTTATTGAATAGATTCAACTAAAGTAAAATCCTAACCAATAATTAATTTTATACAGATAAAGCAGTTTAAAACAGGAAGGTAACCTACACCTCTTGGCAATAACAATGCTATTGACACGGTACGGCTAGGTGGAACCTGTAAGGTGTTAAAGGTGGGATCCTAGGAGACCGACATAACAACACGCACCCCTGATACTCCTACGCAGACCCTGCTCCACCTATGTAAACAACATACACATCCGTCCACTTCTGTTAAGGGCCATTTGTGAGGCGAGTTATTTTCTACCCTTGAGCTGAAGAGCTTCACAACCGCAGGTATTTCCATGCCTGACCACCAGCTACAGGGGTCCACAGTGAACAAAGGTGCCCTCCTTTCCTCTACCTGGCTCAAAGCCCACTGTGAGAACTGGGAAAAATGACTGCATCCACAGCGCAGCTTAAGACTAAGATTTAGAACTGAGATGCGAGCTTCTGATTAATGTTCAGGATATGATCTTTGTAAACACCTGCATCAAAGTCATCCTTCTAGTTTTCATAAAACCCAAATTTCGCACCACTAATTCTGATGCTGATGTGTTTCGCTAACAGAGAACATGAGGACACTGTGGTGGTTTAAGGAGTGGACTTCGTGTCACTATTTAATGACTCTATAATGAACTGGGGGGCACAGGGTCTCTTTCTGCCTCTGACTTGCTTACCCGCCCTCGAAGATCCGGATACGCGATGGTTCACAGCGTTTGGATGTGGAGGGCGCTTCCTCCTCCCGCTTCCCTTTCTTCTCCTCCTCCTTCTCAGGTGGAGGTGTCTCCTTCACTTCAAAGGGGGTGTGGGGAGGTGTGTCTCGTACCTATACTCAGGACAAACAAAGACGACTTCAGTGGCTCTCCTCTACACCACATAGTACAGAAATGACGAGATCAGGGGGAAACTCACTCACACAAATTTATATCACTCCTACAAATGTATGTCACTCACACAAGTGTATGTCAAACCTACAAAATGTATGTCACATCTACAAGTTTATGCTACTTGCACAAGTATCCTATAAGTTTGTCACTCGCACAAATGTGTCACTCACGCAAGTATGTCACTCCTGCAAGTTTATGTCACTCCTACTGTTGTGTTTTGCAACATGAGGCTTTAAGTAAACCTTACATATGAATCAGAACCAGAAAAAACTTTATTGATTCCATAGGGAAATTGCTTAATGTATAAGTGTGCTTGCAATGAAGGCTCGAGCTCATCAGCGTGCACCTCCCAAACTCCAGAGGACACACTGTCACCTACCAAAGCTTTATATCCCTTATGTATTTATCATAATTGTTTAGCTGATGCGTTAATACACAGTAAATTAAAATCACAATGGTTAATACAGCTGGATATACAGTTGGAGGAATTAAGGTAAAATTAGAAAAGATTAAAGATTTAAGTGAAATGGACGCTAAGTGAAAATCACGATAGGCTAGGCGTCACTGTGACTGTGCTTCATGCTGCCAAGTTTGAGGGTTGCTGCTATTTTATACAGATAAAATTCTTATACAGTTACGCCAGCATTACTCTCACTCTTGTGTGCATTGTTGGCAAGCGTACAAAATTTGCTCATAAATGCGCACATTGGTTTTGCATTGGTTAGAAATGATTTTGTTTTTATTATTGGCTTTAATGGTGGCTACCTGACGTAGTCACTAAACCAGAAGTGGGTTTACATAGCTTCCTCCAACACAGACATTATAAACACATATAATATAGTTTTACTATGTAGTTTAATACTATAGAAATCTTTTGTTGTTGAGTTCATGTGCGTTTAAAGTACTTTTTTTTATAGAATTCTAAGGCACTTGCGTGTAAAGTGTGGCGTGCTCTACCAGAGTGACTGGGGAGCGGTCCCTGCTGTGGTAGGAGGAAGGCTCAGAGGGCAAACACAGCTCTGCGTTCCTCTGCGTGGATTAGACATGCATGATCATCAACATATCGATTATATCTTAATAAATCAGTTTACTGCCTCTACTTTTGCATGAGCTCTGCATGCATTTGTAAGAAATTTTACAAAATTTAGTGAGGAGCAAAAAATCAAAGAAGACCTACTGTAGTCCCCAAAAGACATTTGTCTTCTGATGTATGGAATACTTCAGATCCCACAGAGACAATGTTGACCATAGAATTTGTCGGCACCACTTTGTGTCTGTTGGCACAACTCACAGCAACACCACCAACTTATCTGACAACTGACAACCTCTTTATGAAGATAATTAATTCTATTTAGCTACAGTTTATATTGGTAAATATTACAATTCTTATCACCAAAAATCAAATATCGCAATGTGATTTTTTTCTCCAATATGGCTGAGCCCTAATCAGAGGGCTGGGTTTCTCTGGCTCTAAGTTCTCAACCATGACATCTATAGTCAGCTGGGTGGCTGCGGATGGAATCAAGGGAATAGCGCTCTCCTCCAGGTGTGCTATTGCTCAAGAAGTTCTTCTTCCGATAGAGGAGTATGAAGCAAGTAGCTGACACAACATTCTACAACTGACTGGGGAGAAAAACTGATTTTGATTAAAAAAATGATTTGCTGCATGATGTCAACAATGTAACCTAAACATGATGGCTGTTAGACTTACTTCAGTCATACGTGGCTTCCTGGCATTAGCTGGAACCAGCTTGCCAGCAGTGGGTTCTGGCGCCATGGCTGTGGTGTAGGTCTCCAGGCTGTGCTTCTGCTTCGAGCGCAGCAGCGCAAGTGCCACCTTGGTGGAAAGGCCAGGCAGGTTGGGGTTGTGCATGCTGACACACCAGGAGGAGTACACAGAAGCCTGGGGGTCCCTCTGGGGGGATGGGTTGGGTTTCACATAGTTCAGGTAGCACCAGCTGACCGAGGTGGTGGTATGAAGGCTATGGTACGATGGCCCCTTGTGACTTTCTGGACCCAAGACCCGGATTCTTATGCTCTCCTCCTCTTCTTCCTCCTTGGAGGGCGCTGCCTCTTCTGGTGCTGCCTCGCCCTTGTCTTCTTTTGGCTCCTCTTCCTTTGCTTCCACCACCTTCTCTTTGCTTTCATGCACCAGAGCAGCTTCAATAGCCACCTTGTCTTTAGCCTTTTCACCATCACCTCCTCTTCTGATGCCTTCACTGTCTTCCTTCTCCTCTTCCTCTTCTTCCTTCACACGCTTCTGTTGCCTCTGTGCCTCAGTACTGAGCTCCAGGCTTCCAGCTGGGGAAAGCATGCGCTTGCTCCCACCCACACTTGTTGATCCATATCCCTCTTCTGAACCCATCCTGAGCTCCAATTCCAAAGGCAGGTAACTCTTTGAAGTGGGGATCGTTAAGTATGGGCTCTGCAGTGTACGCTCCTCTAGCTTGCTCGTGAGAACCATAGTGGAGCAGCAGACGGGCTCATGGGATTGGGTGGTTAGGAGGATCTGAGAGAGGGTGGTGTACATTGCACTGGCATAGGTGGGAATGTGGGTCTGGAGACGTACTGGCACCACAAGTGACACCACTGGTGCCAGCTGCTCTAGACAGGGTGCGATGATCGGGCGAGGATGGTGTGGTTGGTGATGATAGGGGATGGGTGTCTGCGAGGAGGATGAAGATTCTTTGGATTCCCGAAAGGGTTCTTTGGGAACCTGAAGGGTTAGTCCACTTGGCATGGGGAGGTAGAGGGCCTGGGCAGCACCAGTTGGATACTGCAAGGGAAGGAGTGATGAGAAGGGCTGAAGAGGAAGACCCAGGTGATCTGCAATGCGGAGCTGAGCTGCGTGGAGTGGGGGTGGAGCAGTCTGCAAATAAGCTCGAGGGATGATCTGAGCAGATGGGACATCAGTCATGCCTGTTGTGGCAGGTAAGAGCTGAGCTAGCTGTCCTTGGGGGAATGTCTCTGGAGTTTGTGTATGTTGGGGATAAACTGACTGGGAGAGAGAAGGCAGTGAGGGTTGAAGAAGCTGTACAGACTTTCTTAAAGAATCTGGGCTATGCCTGGAGGAGGAGTGTGCCATGCTGGACTCTGAACCTGAAGATGGAGCAGGATGAGTAGTGTAGGACAGGCAGACCAGAGGAGTTCCAGGTTTGGCAGATGGACCAGCAGGCTGATCTTCCTGATCCGGCTCCCCCAGCGTGGCATGTTTCACCAGGAGGCACTTCCGTCTCTCCCTCCAGGTTGTGGAGGAGCATTGTGGGGAGAGGCAACCATAGTCAAAGGACTTGCTCCGGGTTTCAACGATCTGGGCAGGGTGTTGGGTGCTTGCAGGGGCCTGCTCTGAAGCTGAGCGCCTCATCTCCCGATGAGGATGGTGATGCTGGTGTGGGGCAGAAGGAACAGTCAACATGTGGGAACCCTGGGAGCCTCTAGAAGCACCAGCTGGAGCCACCTCAGAGTCAGGTTTTCCTGAATCCTCAAAGGAAGCAGACCGGCTAGAGGCATGGGATATGCTGCTTTCCTGACTGGGACTACGAGGCAGTGAAACTGACTCAAAGCTCGACTCCCCAGAGGACTGGGTTGCCTCAGCTAGTCGAAGGCGTTTCTTCTTTGGTGGCAGCTTCTCAGCTGGAAGCTGGGCTAAAGTCTGACTTCTCTGAGGCCACTGGAATTCCTCCACCTTCTCTGGTTCCTTAACCAATGATGTTATAGCTGTGGTTGGGACCGGCACCATGTCTGCATCTGGCTCTTCGGTTACAAGGATCTCTGGCACTTGAATGTTATGCTGGCGAACCAAGCGGGATACTGGGTGTGGTTTCGGCGGTGGCTGCTGCTGAGTTTTCAGTGGCAGCGGTAATTGGTGTTCCACAGAAGGCAGTGGCACGCTAATTAGTTTCTCATCTTTCTCTTGGCTTTCCACAGACATACTTTCCTGCTTCTCGAATGAGCTGGTGTGCTGGATCACAGAGATCTCCTTCCAATTGCTTCTTCTGTCTGGTTCCACTTGTGTGGAAGTGCTCAAAGAAGTCTCCCTCTCAAACATATCTTCTCGTCCCGGTACAGGGGTAGGGGCACTAAGTGGAAATGAAACAGCTGCTGGTCCTGGGCTGGGAGGATCCTCCTCCAGACTCTCCTCTTTCCTCCTTTTGCGCACAGCCATTGCCATAGCCCTGAATTTATAATGCATCATTTGAGGTCTGTCCTCTCGATAAGTGCTGCTCTCCGGTCCCTTCTTCGGTTCCTCAGGCTGGCGTGCCGTGCAGAAACTGCGACGGTGTGACTCATAGCTCTCTCTTTTCTTACACCGGGTACCGCAAGCTTCACACTCGTAAAGTCTGGGTCCACGGCGCTGCTTTCGGCTCGGGTCAGATGTCAGAGGGGTGACAGAGGATGAAACTGAGGGAGAATTCTCCTCAGGGATGAACTCTGCTCCAAGCGGTACCTCAATTGCAGGCTGGCGCTTCAGCATGCGGTGATGGTGGCCTACACGCATCTCTGCTACCACAGCTTGCCTTTCGTCAAACGAATGACTGAGACGGAAACTGCGAGAAGTGGTGGCAGAATCGGCCTGGCCTGCTGAGGAAGGCATTGAGTGGCTTCTTAGGAGAGGCACTGTAGAAGCCTGACCAGCCATCAAATCAACATTGGGGAACTTGGGGCGGAGGGATTCACTTGAAAAGCCACTAAGACTCATAGGAACAGCACTGCTGCTACTGGGTCCAAGTGCTTCTGACTTGGGATCTATGCTGCTTTTCCTGGAGAGGGAAGACCTTCTGGGCTTGACACTGTCGATTTCACTGGTGTCTACTACAGCTTCGTTAATGGTAATAAGTTTGGTAATGTGCTCTATGACCTGTGTCTTAGGCACCGTAAAAGGGATAGTCTTTTCCTCTTGCCCTAAGGAAGAAGTGGAAGAGGACTGAAGGTGTTGGTGATGAGGGCCCCTTTGCTGTTGCCCCAGCCGTCCATACTTGCCCAGAATTATTTCAGCATAGGTTTTGGCATTGGTATTTGGAGGGCTCACCTGGGACAGCTCAGTGCTCCCAGAAAGGGAGCAATAACCTGACTCTGTACTACCCTTACTTCCAGGGCCCAGGGAGGAAGGTGGATCATCTGAAGAAGCTACTGGCACACGTTTCCTCTCACTTAACCTCATGGCTAGTCTCTGTTTAACTGCCTGGGAGTCCTCAGCTCGTTGTGGCTCCTCTAAGTTTGGTGTCTCTGTGCTTCCACTCTTCTGTGAGGTCAGTTTCTCCTGGGAGGACACTGGGGCATGTTGCCCTGTTTCATCTTCTGAGTCTGTGCTTTCTCCCTCTGTTGGTTCTTCTGGATCCTCCCCCAGAGCACCCCCCTCGGGTCCACCTAAGCTATAGTCCTCCCTGCTGGTAGCCAACCCTGCTTTGATCCGGTGGGCATGGGACTTGCGATGTTTATACAGGTTGCTCTTGGTCTTGAAGGAGAATCCGCATGGGACACAGGGGTAGGGGCGCTCTCCAGTGTGGGAGCGAATGTGCTTCTGGAGAACACTAGGCTTGGCACATGGACGGCCGCAGTAAGTGCATACATACTTTCCCGGCTTCTGGGGCTTACGTTCCCGCCTGGGCGGGGCACCCTCCTGGACTTCTTGGCTGCATTGTGATGGTATTACCTGGGCATGCAAGCCTTGAGTGGAAGAAGATGACTGAGAGGCTGTGGGAAAGTTCCCTCCAGAGGGACCTGGGGCACCTGCAAGCTGCCATGTCGGTACTGCTGCAGAGGTAGAAGACTGATGCTGCAGCCGGAGGAGCTGCCGCTCTAGGTCACTACGCTTAGGCTGCCGGTGATGGTGTCGACCATGAGAGCCATGGGGAGGTCGGGAGGGAGCCTGTTGCAGCTGCTGAAGCTGCGACAGATGGTCCTCCGGGGGATGCTCAGACAGGGGATGCTCTTGCCCTGCAGACCGCTCCCCACCGGTCGGCTGGCTGTGCTCGGCCTCCATAGAGTGGGGAGGAGGCCTTAAATAAACACTGGGAATGCTTCTGTCTTAGTCAGACCACACCGCCTCATTGATTTAGCCACAAAGCTGCAGAGCTCTCCCAGTACATAATGGCATGGAGAAGGCTCTGCAAAAAAAACAGCCAGAGGGTGTCTGAAGAGCTCCTTTTGTCTAGTGAAAAAGGTTTCTTCTTCTTTCCTTTGTTTCACTTTATAATTATTAAAATTTCATGAGTTTCTTTTTAAATCATATCCATGTATGGCAAAGGCCTCAATGCAACAGTATAAACGGACACCATCAAAGCGGGGCTAAGAGTAATATCCAAGCAGAATGTAGCAATCCATCACCCAGCGCCGAACACATGATCACTTTGCATCTTGATCTTCCCATGGTTTACTGCAGATACCCAGCTTATTAGCACCTCCTTTGGACTGCTCTTAGAGTTGGTCCACGGTCAGACAACGGTCCAGATGCACACAACAACTTTCTTCTGAGACCCCTCTCAGCTTTCCGCTGCTGATTGTCACCTCACTGGTTCTGTGAAAACAGACAGAGAATGGAGTAGATCATCTCATACTGTAAGTTATTATTATACCTGGTATTGACCTGTCACATGACTCACACTCCCAAAGGGAAAGAGCCTTTTCCAGGTTAAATCTGAAGGTATATCCCTGCATGTGCTTGATGTTTTTCAATCAGTTTCCCTTGTACTGCTCACAATGTACAAACACTAATGATTGAATTATCATATGAGAGGTTCTAGACATTAAACCCCCGGAGTCAGCCAGAAATTTCGCCAAACCGTTTAAACGACTCAGAGTTTTTGTCATATAAACATTTAAAAAACACCCTCAGAAACCCTGGACGGTCTACTTTTCAAATATATATAGGTAGAAACTAAATATATTTTTACAGCTTTGTGATACGAATAAAAAGAAAAAGAGTGACTGACTTAAGTATCTGCGTCTTGAAGCAGCTCTGATCACTCACTTGCAAATCGCGCTATTCACATGATAACGACATGATAATCCGACAGTTGGTATCGGGTAAAGAAATGTGTGAATACGCCCATTGTGACTCAAATAAACAAGAGCACATGTCTGGGTAGTATTTACACTGATTGGCTACAACATGGCTTATGCATTCGTCTCTGCTGCTGTGTTTGCACCAGCGTTGCCACTCTGAGCAGCGAATCTCATACCTGTTCTCATTTCAGCGTTGTTCATTCGCATGCGAATGCGGTTTGAATACGTGGTAATGCGGCTATTTAGAATGTGAATAGCGATCTTCAGGTGAGAGCGGTGCTACACGCCCCCAATGCAAGGTTAACATACCACAGCAAATTAATTCATCTTATGCAACAAACTTACTGAAAAATCTGAATCTTTCCCATCATTTCCTGCTACATCCTATACCTTTGAAACAAAACTCATGCTGAAGTCACAACTATATACGGATAACAATAAGATGTCAACAAAAGACTAAAGATGAATTAATGGACAACAGATTCCTACGACATCGCTACAGCTCCCGGCTGGATCCTGCTATGTTCTGTAGGAAAAATTCTTCATCCTCTCCACATCCATTGGTCAGCATCTGATGCCAATCCAGAAGAGATTTTCTCTGCTATCAGAGTCAAGATCTGGGTGTAGTTTAGCCATGAAGGCAGTATCCCACACTACTAATGATGGTGCCCATAATTCTGTTAAATCAATATTGATTTCTCAGTTCTAATTATTTTAACATTACTATTTTTTAATCTATTATATCTTTCAGTTTTGCAGTCATGTAGAACAGTAAAACTGCACCTCATTTCAAAACAGCATCTGCCAAGAAAGCATATATTTTTAAGTTCTAAAACATAACAGTTACTGGATTTACAGTATTGGATCTCACTTTAAGTATCAATTCAATCCACCCAATCCTGTACAAACCTCATCAGGCAACACCTTAGATTAAGATGCCTTTGAAGGTGAGTCAGTGATGTTGGCACTGTCAATAACTCAGTGTCTACATATGAATTATAGTCCTTGTCGAGCGTTGAACCCTCTGGCTAATGTCTGAAGCGAAACGGCAAGAGGCTTTCCCGTCAACACCTGGCCACTGCCCCACCGCCCCCCACCACACCAAACTGCACACATTAGGGCACAACACACAAGCAGGCTTTGACTTAACATGCATACAAGATCCAAGGTCCCTTAAAACCTTTCCACCACTGAGGTTTATTACCCTCAATGGGAACAGATCTAGAGGTTATTCACTTGCAGGTCATGTGTCTGACCAGGCATATGGCACTTCTGAACATTTTCCCTTTTTTTTTTTTACTCAGCTGACATTTAAAAGTCCTTGACTAAAGCACAAGTAAAAAGTGCACAAGCACTAGATTTCTAGTCCAGAGGGTCCAAATCTGATTCATCTAAGCGGCCGAATGGCAGTCATGTTGTAAGAGATTAATCTGAATTGAAAGCCGTGCCATTCATTAGTTGTCAATGATCACTTCATTACGGCTAAATCTACAGCAATTTTCTGCCACTGCCCAGTTTCAGGGGCTACCGCATTTCGCTGTGAGTCATTTGCACAACCACCACAAAGGCAAAACAGAAAACACAGCGTAAAATCAATGTCCCAGGTCCACTCACCACCAACACAACAGATAGATGTTGCTGCTCTCGGAATAGCAGTCACCCATTTCAGCCTCTCGGCTGTGAAAGTTTACTGGACAACGGAGGCTGCTGGATAGAGCAGCTACATTTAATTCTACAGATAAAAACAAAGGGACCAAAAATATGAATGAAGCCTTTATTGTTAATATCATCAATATCCACCCACTTTGGCAGGTGGAACTCCATTGTGCAGCCAAATAAAGAAATACTTCGGGTATCTTTTGTTTTGGCTTAGAGGAAGAGAGACATGTTTCCACACAAAGGAGCACAGAGTAGAGGACAATACGTCTCCTACTCTAACGAACACGGTACGGATCAGATCCTCAGAGTGGAATCTACAGTGTCTGGATAAATGATGCAAGCCACACTCAAGCTGGGCTGGAAGATTTGGAGGCTGGCTCAGTTTCGGAAAACAAGCACACACGTGGAGCGCATGGCCCCTCTCGGACAGAGCAGCTGGCTCGCACACGCTCCGCAAGACTCTAGCTCTGCCGGGTCATGGCGTGGCATGCAGATTCGCTCAGAGGGCTCTGCCTTAGCAGGATAATTGAGCTAATTTGTCTCTAATGAAACGCAGATTCTCTTTGGAACACTGCATTTGGGGCCTCATCTGATTTCTGGAAAACTGTGAAAGGACCCCCCCCCCCCCCCC